TTGACATAGTAAACCCGACAACTACACCAATAGAGAAAAGAATGGCTACCGATAAACAAAATTGTGTGAATAGCAAGATACTTAAAATACAGAAGCTATAGGCCGTTTACTGTATTTTTCGGCTATAACATTAACTCGGCATTAGCTTTGCACTGAACTATTTATATTAGCAAGATTTAGCAAACAAAAGTGAGTATCTGGAAAATGGTAAAACGTATTTCTCAATATTTAAAAGGGAATATTCGTACTGGAATATACTCTAAGTGTACAAACACAGTGCAAGCAGGTTTCCGCCTACCAGTAACCAGCGCCGACTCGCGCTTAAAAGCGCTAAAAATGAATGCATGTTTTCAAATCGGCTAGTACACAGTAACAAACAGGTAGAGTATCTGCTTTTCACTGTGTTCTAGCCGATTTAAAAACATGCAGTCATTTTTCGCGCTTATAGGCGCGAGTCGGCGCTGGTTACCGGTAAGCGGAAACCTGCTTGCACTGTGTTTGTACGCTAATGGAGATCCAAAAGTAATAAGCATGCGAAGATTCTCACTCTGGAGGAGATACACTAACAGAACGCTGCTTGACTAGTGGAGTACTTACACTACGTGGTGGAAGCAATCGTATGGTATGCACAAAAGCAACGAGTGGTAGCAAACTCTAAGACTGAAGCCAAATATCGAGCTGTGGTATCTGCTATAGATGACATCTGTTGGATTCAACCTATAGGAAGTTAACTTGGTTTTATAAATATTGAGAAACAGACACCTTTATCTGTGATCGAGATAGCAAGGAAGTTTATACAAGAATATGTTGATAAATCGAGGGACATATTGAAAGTACTGATATCCTGATAACCTCTAAGTCGAAAAGTATTAGATAATAATATGTTGAGATGTAATTATTTCAATTTATTAGACAAGTGCCAAACTGTTGAGACTTGTGATTCTATTTACGTCAGTACGTCAACTACGTCAGTCATGTTATACTAATCTTTTGTCGACTTGTCTTGTCATATATGTCATTGTCATACTGCAGAACCTTTCTGCCTTTATATAATAACTTACATTTTATCTCCAGAAAAGTATTCCAGAAACCTTTACAAGCAATAAGGTATTTTTGTAATAAAACTGATTCTTTAAAAAGAAATAATTCTACTGACTTTTAATAGTTATTTACCTAACAAATGCGGAAAGTGATACTTTACCGCACGCAACGGCAGTTGACCGGACGACGCGAAGCGGAGTTCGGTCAAGGCACTTTCCGCATTTGTTAGGTACAAAATTTTACCTATGAGCATCTACATCTCCGAAAAAAGGCATTAATAATAGTATATTACATACCGAGTAGGGAAGTGTTTCATTACTGTCGAGAGATTTATATAGACTAATAATCTCGAGACAGAAATGAAAACTTCCCTCCGAGGTTTGTATACTATTTTATTTGCAAGCACACCATTAATTATGATTAGTCAATCAATTTTTTTAATATTAAAAAAATAAAACAAACATGCCAAAATGTGTCATTCGCTGCTTTGACGTTTTTACCTGACATGTTTTCATTGTTGCCAGTAAAGGTAAATAAATTAGAGTGAGGGAAATCGGTGAGGGAAGTCGAATAGGGAAATCGATGAGAGAAATCGAAGAGGGAAGTGACACAGGTAAAGTGTCACTTCCAAATTTTTAAAAAGTCAGTAATGACAAGATTACATATATGATTGCAAATAAAATTAATTAATGAATCAGATTAATTAATAAAATTAGATTAGATTGGAAAATGATCAAAAATACATTTTCTGAAAAAGAAAGGATTTTTAATCATAAATACCAAAAAGTCTACTTTACCGCACACTATGCAGTAGAGTAACTTTACCGCATAGTGTGCGGTAAAGTGGACTGCAAAGTGTGCCGTAAAGTTACTTTACCGCATAGTGCGCAGTAAAGTAGACTTTGGTATTTATAATCAAAAATCCTTTCTTTTCCAGAAAATGGATTTTTTATCATTTTTAAATCTAATCTAATTTCATTAATTAATCTGATTCATTAATTTATTTTATTAATGCCTTTTTTTGGAGATGTAGATGTTTACAGGTAAAATTTTGTACCTAACACATGCGCATAGTGCTTTTACCGCCCTTAACGGCGGTCAACTGCCTTTGTGCGCATTAAAGTATTACTCTCCGCATTTGTTAGGTAAATAACTATTAGGGCGGGTATTATAAAACTGCTTTGACAATTAACTTAAAGTTAACTTTTTGAATTACATGTAGGTAATTCCAGAAGTTAACTTTAAGTTAACTCTCAAAGTAGTTTTATAATACCCGCCCTTACAGTTTAGCTGTCAGTTTTACAAGTCAGTAGCTTGTGAAAATCATTTTCTGCTGTTTATGTTTCGACCTAATAGGTGACCATTCACAAATGAGTGACAAATAGACGTATGTAAATATGTCTCTTTATTTGTTTTTGGTGACAGAAAATTTATTGTTTTTTTTTTATTATTTCAGGCGCCTTATTTATATCTTCATTCTAGTTATGTACTACCTGTTAAGCCTTTGTCAAGAATATTTTTCACTATCAAGAAATATTGTGAACACGACAGGGACATTATTTTTTACCAAGAAAACTCGATCATCCATAATCTCACATCCTCTGAATTGAATTACTTACCATCACATAATGGCATTGTCGTAGATTAATAGTAGATTATACCACGAGTCAATAATGATAGCTATTATTCCCGAGGAATATTTACAAACTGAGCCGCGCTAGCGGCGAGGGAGTAACATTCCGAGGGAATAATAGCCATTATTGCGAGTAGTATACTCTACTTTATTTACGACAAATTAATTTATTTGAGATTTTTAATAGCAAATTTCATCCATGTCAATACAAATACACAAGCACTACACGTTTGACACTGACACTTTTGAGGAGTAATGACCATTATTCCCGCTACTCGTCATTATTCCCTGGGGGTGACATTAGTCGTAAATAATAGTAGATTATACGATGAGTCAATAATGTTAGCTATTATTCCCGAGAAATATTTAATTATATATAATTTAATTTATTTTAATTATATAACTTTGATAAGCCGCCATTTCGACAGGGTAAATAGTAGCAACTTGGAACTTCGGAGATATAATTTTAATGAAAATAGCTATCAAATGACGTATCACTCGACCCCCCCTTCATTTAAAATTTTGTGGGTACCTGTCACCCCCACTTAGGGGTTCACAAGTAGGGGGTGAAAATACCAATAAAATTTGTCCCCCAAAAAACAAAAATTGACGTGTCTAAGCGATTTTTGATTAAACTCCTAACACCTGAGAAAACCTGGGTGGAAAGTTTTTCGTGCCCCACCGGCAGCCTTATTCTGTAACTTGCGACCGCAGATAATTGCGCAATAGTCGCTGTCAAGCAGTGGCGGCTCTTCCTTAGGTTTGCAGGTTTACGCAACCCCCAAAACAAAACTTAAAAAATATAAAACAAAAATAGTAGAAGTAAATTGTAGTACCTAATTATATTTAAAAAATAAATTATACCAAAATTTGGGACCTACATAATACGCAGTCAATTAATAAAATAATTTGACCAACTTCGCCAAAATATCAATAACTGACAGGCCGCCGGCGACTTCGAGTAGCGGCGTCGAGTCGCTGGATTGCAGCACCAAAGCAAACCGATCTATTATATGACGGCGCACATTTGGTTGCCTGTCTTTGCGTGGATTCGAAATCCGCCCCATAAGCTCCAGCAGGTTGCAAGCGAAATGCAAACTTTGTTTATTTTTTTTGCTCACAGCGCAGAGACTAGGTTTGTTTTGTGAAGTTTTGTCGTGTGGGGGGTGAAAAAAAAAAGAATTCTGTTTAAAATTTAATTGCCGAGCCATTCTGTGGTGGTTCTACAACCGATAAGGCTGAAATAAAAAGACTTGGAAGGCCTACTCCAAATTTAAAAATTAAACAGACTGTAACTAGCCAAAAAAAGGACTTTCACCAGGACATTTAATCTGGACCTTTACGAACAACATGCATGAATGTACCATTGAAATTGGAACCCCACATTTTTAATATACGAGCCGCCACTGCTGTCAAGTCGCTGTCAAACGCGAATTTTCCATTCAAAAAAAGCAACTTGTGACCGGTTGCTGGTTGCTATGTAATTGCTGTTTTTAGAGAATAGGCCTGCCGGTATAAGTCGTAAATAAATAAATTGATATTGTGAATAATAGTTATTTATGATATAAGTGTTAAAAGTACATTTTTAAGGCACGCATGTGAAAGTTTGCAGAATGAGCGAAGCGAATTCTGCAATTCACATAAGTGCCTTAAAAATACTTTTAACACAAATATCATACAATATTTTTTCTACAAACGGCAATAACAAGCAATAACCAGTGACAAATTGGATTTTTAAATGAATAATAAATTGGAAGCATCTTTCCTACGTAAAATTATTGAATTTGATATTTGTCAAAAAATTCAAACAACCAGCACCTTGTTTTACAGGTAATGAAATGTCTCGTCAGTTTCTTGAAAGTCTGTCGTATGGTCTATCGTGGTCAGTAAGCTTTTTGCTAAAAATGCAACAAAATACACAAGAAAAAGAGGGTTGCATCAATCCCTTGAAAAATATAGAGGAGGCGGCCGATGGAGCTTCCTCAGTTGTTCAAATTTTACCATTAATATTAATGTAAATAATTAAAAATACAAACTTTTTTTGACGTTTGCTTTCAAATTTTGATGTTTCATTTTTAACACTAGTGCCTTAAAGACTTTTAACACTAGTGCAATAAAGTAACATTTTTAATGCTTCGAGGGGGTGTTAAAAATTGCATTTTTAACACGTTTGTAGAAAAAATATTTTTTCTCCAAACGTCAAAAAAACGTCACTTTGTTAACCCTTGTCAAGATGTCAGAAATTTAATTTCTATGCTGGTAGGCAAATCCAGCAGGTTAACACCTGTCAGGGTGGTAGAAATTTAATTTCTATGCTACTAGGCAACCGCAGCGGCAGTAGAAGTACTTTTAGTGACGCTGGAGCGGCAGCAAAAGTACTTTTAGTGCCGCTTGTACTTTTACTGCCGCTCAACCATTCAGTCACCCCCGAGCTCACCCCATTTGTTTGGAGAAAAAATAGCGTGTTGCATACGGAGTAGAAGCACTTTTTTGGTGCTTCAGCACAAAAAAGTAAAGCTTCTACTCCTAATACAACAATATACTATATTTTTTAATTAAAATTAAAAATATACTATAAAAAAAATACACTTATAAGTTAATGACTTGTGGGGACTCAAAGCCGTTTTCCTCATTTTCAGCTAACAACTTCACCTGTTTGTTGTCATCTCCTGGTTTAGGTTTTCCATAAATTTGATTTATGCGTTTCAAAACTTGCCTTATGTTTCTCACATTCCTTAAAATATTGAAATATAATTATCAACCGGAATTAGAACAGAAACGTTTGGATGTACCATCGTCACCAAAAGTATCTGGGACACAAATAATGCATAATAATCTCCTGGGCTAATTCTACTGTCATTCATTTCAATGCATTTAATTCATAGTTTGACAAATATTTGACAATAAAATTCATATTATTATAATAGGACAAGAGCTAATGTGATGCTGTCCCAGTTACTTTTGGTGACGTTGGTACTTGTGTACCTGACTGCGTTGGCCAACTTTCCATATTGCTGCGATGTTGATGTGCTTATATGAGTAATACTTTCCTCAACTTCCCGTTTTTTTATTCCGACTTTGCTTAAATCTTCGATTATCTTATTTGCACCAGCATTTCTATTTTTCAGTCCTTCTTCCATCATTTGAGTGTCTAAATCAGATGCATCCTCAAAATTTGAAGAATGGATTGCTAAAATTAACATTTAGATTTCACTTTTAATATTTATTATGCAGTGCCACAGTAATTTTATGTAATTATTTTGTCTTGGAACCGAATAAAGTATATATTTGATAGAAGTAAAACCATGCTTGTAAGGGATAAGAAAGTGTTTTCGATATAGTGAACTAGTGGTTTAATACAAGTAAATTGCGGAGGTTTCAAAAGTTTTATTTTTAGATGGCACACGACACATTTTAGGGGCAGATAATTCATTCGAATCAGGACATAAGGGTCGAGAGTTGAGAATGCTTTTTATTTGAGCTAACACCTTGCCAATTGCTTAAATGTTGAGATCGTTTCACCAATCATCCTGCGCAAATGAAATTTTGTTTATTTTATGCCTGCTTTCCAAAGTCTACCCCAGTGAGGAGTTGTATTAACCTCGTATAGAGAATTATGGGCTCCATGGGGACCCGTCAATTTTTTTTAAAATTTGGTATGTTGTAGTACTAGAAAAAATAAGCATTTTTCATGATTGCATCGAATCTCTAACTATACAGGGTGACCTAGTAAAGTGGGTCCAAGAATCATAAAACAAGCCTTTCAATTATCGATGTTGGCGCGCCCTGCAAGCTACATATCGGGATTTTTGTTTTCGATTTCGCAAATAAATAGTCTAAATAAGCCTAATATACTATACAGGGTGGCTTAGGTTGCGTATTCTTTCAGAAATCTTGCCCTATTCTTAGAAATAGTGTTGAAAAAAGGTCGCGCTGGAGTTTATTTGCCGTAACTTTTTTAATTTTTGTCCGATTTGAAAAAATGTGGTCTTAAAATAAAGCCTATATCACAGGGATGTCATGAAATCTAAAAAAATTACAAATGTGATAAAATTCGAGATGGCGGAAAGTAATAAAAGTATAACTTTTTATTTGATTGTGGAATCTTACGAACTTTAAACCCGGTTTGAAATTGAAAACAGGATCTAACGGTTAATTACTAATGTTGAGAGTAATTAAATGTAGTCCAGGCCGGGACTGGAACCCGCGCTGGGAGGGTAGAAGTCCAAATACTATGCCACTGGACCACGTTGGAATTTGAAAAACACGTGTAAAAGAAACAAATTATACAACTCGTCCGTGCTCACGGAGTAGTAGTCCCTATCTAAAAAATAGAGGTAGGCTATGAACGGTGACAAATTTTTGAAACAAAGGCAGGTGCCTTGGTACTATTGTTACAAACTAAGTTTCGTTGTTAAGGCCGCAACAACGATGAGAATGCTGAGCTCTGATTGGTTGGTTTTTCAAAACTTGTTTTAAGGTCTTTAAAAAACCGGCACATCAGAATTGGCTCAAATTTGGCATAAACATTCTTTGATCGATTATCTAAAATTCGCTTATTTTGGTTTTTCGATATTCAGCCGTTATTTTTAAATTCAAAAATCATGTTCGCAACCACCAAAACAACTAAATCTGTTGGTGGTTGCATATTTGTATGTTTATTAAGCTCGGATCCGTGAAAACCATATTTTATTGATAACCACGAAAAACTAAAATAAGCGAATTGTAGATAATCAATCAAATATTGTTTATGCCAAAGGATTTTGAAAATTATTGCGGATTTTTTGAGATGATCCTAAAACAAATTTTGAAGGTGAAAATTGGTGAAAATTTGACAGTCACATTTCAGCAATTTCAAGTAGATGGCGCCACGGCAAAAAAACTATATTGGGAGCATCATAATTGTATATTTGTCTTTCTCTTTCACTAAGTGTTTCAGCGACAAATAGATTTTGGACAAAAATTAAAATATTGAACCGTATGTGTAGACTGGCGCATTCGTCATTTTCAAAAACTAAATTTAAACATGGCGGCCATTAACGCGGCCTTAAGAGTCTATGGTTAGGATACAGTATATTTTATAAAAAACTTATTTTATTAAAAAGCTCATTCTTCAACGATTTTTAGTGACATTTACTTTCAAAGCATACCTAATGGTACCTTCAAAATCGTCAAACCTTCTGAAATGATAGAATCCACCTGTCAGGTGGTGAGTGTCACCAACTGACATATTTTGCAAAAAAAAAAATCCCCAATTAACAGCATACACAAAAAAATTTAAAAAAATTAAAAATAAAATCCAAAATCTAGAAAATAGTACAAAACTCACGTTGCAGAATGCTATTCTCGCACTCATTCGTTCGTCCACTCGCTCCTTCGTCGCTCGTATCCAAATTTCTTCTGCAACTCATATTTTAATATACTATTTCAATGAAACTGAGACAAGGATAATCGAACGATTTCATTAAAGTCATTTTAAATTATACTTCTAGAGAGGCTGTTAGTTTGGCAATTACAATTATCAGAACTACCTTAATGCAAAACTATGTGCCGAATAATCTTAGTTTTCAATTTGAGGAATTAAGAAACCATGAGCAGTTCATTGAGCGCCATATTACTTCATTTTAAAACCTTTTGTATAACCCAATACCCCAACAACCTTAAGCAATTCTCTATCCCGATTGCACCTACCTCAAAGCACCAAAAAGTAGTCACTTTCAAATCCAAAGACAGTCATTTCCACCTCATAGAATAGAGTACGTTCAGCGTGCAGTACACACTTCGTGAACGAATCACGATTTGGAAAACCTAACCCAAGAATAAGAAATATTTGATTTGTTTACATGAAAATAAATTACCTATTTGAAAATGGAATTAAAATATTGATTAAAATCGGGGAAAATCATTAGTCGTCAACAAGCACTAATCACAAGTGAAAAATAGAATTTAAATAATAAAGATTAGAAAATTTACAGGATCCTGCAATTACTGTAAAGTCTGTTTTTTTTTTAAGATAATTCCCCAAGTCAAAAATTTGGTAACTATGTTGGCAACACAAGCCTTTTCTACATAAAAAATTTGAAAGCATTGACAATTTTACATTGCATTGCCAACATAACGTCATTTTGACTTTTATGTTTAAAAAAAAACAGACTTTAATTATTGTTGAATTTTTATAAAGGAGAAATGTAAACAAAGCTTAATAAAATCAGCGAAAAATTGAATATCCATAGGAATTTTGGAATGGAAAACTAAAAATAAGTGTGAAATAAATAGTTAAAGGCAATTTTGGCACGTTACAATATACATATACAGGGTCCGCAGCTAAGCGCGCGGCGGTCTCTGCGGCCGTCCCAAACTTATAAGGTTAGGAATTTCGTTCATATGTCAACCTATACTGGTCGTGAGACTCTATTTTAGGAAAATATTTTTAAGTACTTATACAGGGTGGCTCAGTTAGGCGAGACGATGTAAAAGTCATTTTTTCTATAAATGAGCCACCCTGTATGTGATTGCATATTTGGATTCTTTCAACTTTGACAGGCTGTAAAACCTAAACGGTTAATTTGAGAGGCGAACCGATCTTACATTCTTGTCATAGATTCTCATAAACTATCATTTGACACCAACTTTAAATTTAATCCATGATTGGAAATACCAAATAAATCTAATCTCCGGTTAAATTCGAAGTTGGTAGATGATATTTTATGAAAATCAAAGATGAGAATGTAAGATCGGTTTTCCTCTAAAATTAACTGTTTAGGTTTTACAGCCTGTCAAAGTCGCAAAAAATTTAATTTTCAACTGTCAATATTTCCAAAATAATTGAACTTAGATATAGGGTATATCACATGAAATCTGCTCATAATTTTACGTAGAATCCAAATATGCAATCAAATGCAGGGTGTCACATTAAAAAAAAAAAAAACGCTTTTTATATCGTCACGCCTAATAGCCACCCTGTATACTCAAAAATATTTTCCTGAAATAGAGTCTCAAGACCAGTAGGGGAACCCGGGGCAGAACGGCATACCTAAGCTTTAGGAGGCCTTTTCTTCAAGGGATTTTGAAATTTCGAAACCAACTTAGGACATACCCTTCTTTATTGTTTAAATAACATCCAAGAAAAGTTTGAGACGAATTTTATCAGAAAAAAAAATTGTTTTTGAAGCTCAAAAAAAATGTGTCAAAATGGCCATTCTGCCCCGACTATGGGGCAGAATGGCCCTATCTTGGGGCGGAATAGTCATTATGGTGAAATAATGAAGTAACTGTATTTTTGGGAACAAATGAAACACTCAAATATTAAATACACAATTTAATAGAAATCTTAAACTTATTGCCAGATTTTGCAGACAAGCACAGTCTCATCGTCGTCGCTATCGATACGCGCAAGTATTATGAGTCCATTTTTTGCAGATTGAGCATGATATCTAACCTTCTATAGATTTTGAGTAAAAGACTCCACAGTAGAGGCATTGGGCATCATCACTTTCACTTTCGCTGATGGAAGAACTTGTTCCGTCGTTTACAGGAATCCTTGTGTTTTGTTTTTTTTTTTTATTATTCTTTTGCATAATCTTTGAGTGAATAACTTTTTTATTTTTGGGTTTTTTATTTATTGCCAATTTATATTCTGTTATTGATTCATCTGGACTGCATTCTATCAAAGACCACATGCGTGAATCTCTTCTTACAATTGAAAAAATTCATATGACTGCTTGCTGATTTTATGCGGGGCAGAATGGTACCCTGGACCATTCCGCTCCGATCCGTTCTGCCCCGAATTTGGTTTAAAAATATTTTCAAAAAAATAAAACAAAATCATTGAGGAAAAATATCAACATCACCACCACTAATGCTCGACATCATGTACTACGTGAAAAATATAATAACAATGACTTATTATTTGTGTACAATATTTACTTTGTCATCAAATTTCGCAAAAAATTATAAAATTTATTCACAAATATGTACATGTATGAATTCCGTTAGACTAAAGTTGTTTTCGTACTGGCATTTATCAAAACATAATAGAGTATAGTCTAGGGTATAGTTATAAGGCGATTTCTATTTACCATTTTGGTTGCGGCTGAGTTAGGAGGCCTATTCCGTTGTGCCCCGGTATGCCGTTCTGCCCCGGGTTCCCCTATAGGTTGACATATGAACGAAATTCCTAAGCTTATAAGTTTAGGACTTGTAGACCGACGCGCGCTTAATTGCGGACCCTGTATATGTTTAAACGTCTAATAGGCCATCCACTATGAAAATCCTGTGTATTAAAGAGTTATTACCTTTCTTTACTTTAGGCTTAGTTTCGCTAGAATTTCCTCCACTTCCTGGAAATTCCGTTACCTCACCCCGCGGCGTGAGTTCGCCTTTTTTCCCTGTCATATGCTCAATCATCGCCAAGTGCGATACGATGTATTCCCTCACCGGTTCGGCTCTCTCTTTACATTCCTGTGGCAGATTATTGTATTTATTTAATAGTTCTTTTAATGTTTGTTCATTATCCTGGATCTTTTCGTTCTGACCGGAATGGAACATGTAGGTGCTCTGGTGTTCATCGAAATCAATGTCGTCCATCTCTTTCAATTTTCCCATTGGATCGTCCATTTCATTTTTCGTGATTAGCTTAACGTACATATACAGGTTTGCTGGCAAAGCTTGACATACAGTATGGTATTTAAGTTTCAACATTAGGCTATTCATTTCGTTTAGTATTTCACCAGTTGCTGCACTGCTGTTGAAGTGTGGTATTACTAAATTCATCTAAAATTTTATAAGATTTTCAATGTATTTGCAACAAATAACCTATTTCAAATGTTTAATACATTAAGTTGACTCCTCTTGAGCCCCTGTCTGATATTTCCTCTTGCCATGGAAAGCGAATGGGACGCTATATGCCTAGGCAGAGTACCCGCGACTATGTCATTTAAGTCCAGAAACTCATCTTTTGATACGTTAAAGGACTAAAATTTCAAACAAGAATTCGAAATTCAAATAGGTAAATTCCAAGAAGTTTCACCTGGGTCTTGGATTCTGGTATTAATGGCAAAACGCTTGTAATAGTGGCCGGACAATGAGTAGCACTTTCCTCTGGGCAAGGGGTTATCTCGTCGTCTTTATGATATTGGTCGCATTGAGTGTCTAAGTAGTAAATATTAGTTATTATTATTGAAAAATATAAGTTCAAAAACCATTAATAATGTTTCATTAGGACCCTGTTGTGAACAGTAATTCTCAATAAATCAAGGCCAACAATAATCATTTAAGCTAGAGAATTTGGAACTTCTTGCTTCTGATACCTCATTATTTAAAATGCATTAAAATAACTTACTTAGTGTTAAATCATCTGAAATAGTGGTGAAATAATAATTCGTTGAAGCTCTTTCAGTATTATCAAACAGATCAGGATTGGCAGATTGAATTATGTCCTGAGCAGCTTGTATTAAAGCAGTATTGCCTGCCCCTTCAAGAGTTGTTTCGAGCATGGTACTAGCCTCATCAGTTTTCAGATTTATTTCTTCTGGAGTACTTGACGTGGCCTCACTTTCAGTAGTAGTAGTTACCACAGTAGAAACAGAAGTTTCTTCTCTCTTAAATTCTGCTCTAGGTACTACAAAATATTCATTTGGAGAATATTGGTTGTTTAGCTGATTCTTCCCTTTTAATCTCTGTTGATTATTTAAAGCTCGCTCACGCATCAATTTGTGATATTGATTGTCGTTTTGAACGAATCTATAATAATTATTACAGTAATTCATTTGTAAGATGAAAAAATTGTTTCAGACCTCGGCCAACGTTGAAATTCAGGATTATTCCTGAGAAAAATGTCTTGTTTTTGTTGATTTGTTAGGGGTTTTGGTTCCAATTTTGCTTCGTTATTTCCTAAAAATTGGTTGTTACTACATTTAAGCAATGAAATAGAAATTAAATTACCTTCCCTAGTTGACAATTTCCTTTTTCTCCGCTTATTTCCCAAGGTTTTCTTACCCTTCTGATTCTTTGACTTCTCTTCAGATAAAAACAAAACATTAGCCCCCGTATTCAACATCCTCTTTTGAAATCACTTTGAGGTAAAATCGTTTCTTAATTTAAATGCGATATGAATCAAGCTTACGAATTTTTAAAATTAACTTTTCAAATAAGTTTTGAAGGTTCTTTTAGCGTTAACTGAAGATGTTGAATACGGCTGTTAGTATTTATTTTCACAAAATACTTACTTTTGCGTTCTCCTTTTTTTTTCTTTTTCTGCCTTCCACCACCATGAGCATGCGCATTTGCAGTCAAATCATCCTTAGCTTCCATAAGAACCTTATCTAAAAAATGACAGATTCATATGGATCCGGGACCAGAGCGGTAAAAATATCGATTTCAAGAAAGCATAAATAGGTAATTTTTATTTTACATAGAAGTGTTGATTTGAAATTCAATAATAACATCCCTCAAAAGTTACCGACTCAGGAGTAGTCAGAGTCGGCATTGCTGTGGAAAGGGAAAATATTTGAAAAAATTCTTTCCGAAATCATTTTTTTGTGACTTCGCTACTTCACTAAGTTTATTATAACTATGAGACTCTCTTCATTATGATTTTTATTTCAGTTTCATAGATTCGGAGCTAGGAGCACTTGAAGTTGGCTTTAAATTTATTAAACGTTATTCCGGAATCCTGGGCGGTAATTTAATAAATAACACCAAACTGTAGCTTGACATTGCTCTATAAAAACGGCCACAATGCACACAGAGTTCTGATGATTAAATATTCGATACCAGCCTTCCATTCACAAACGCAACTCCAAATGTCTATGGCACTATTAACTGTAATATCTGTAATGTTAGCGGGTTCTTTAACATAAACACTTTATAGTTATAGTAGAATCATTACAACTTTATTTATTAGAAACTCAGGTAGACTTCCGAGAGAAGACCTCAAGTTATTGAGAAACATGGAAAAATATTCCGGAGCACAAGTGATACCGAACGGCAAACTCTTGAAATAAAAACTCCCGAATGGTGTAATGAAAGTGGTCAAAAGTTGAGATTCTTTACCAAATTTAATTTTATAGAGACTGAATTAGTGTAATATTAGTGTAATTTAGAGAAAAAATTGGAGCCCTGGATCTGTGAAAAAATAGTCTCCACCTTACCTATGGGAAAGTGCGAAGGTAAAACTGCCTCATTCAAATGTGTATAATCTACACAGAGACATATTTTGAAATTTTTTTGGACAACCACGATTGGACTGACCCAATTAGTAGGGACTTCCACAGGTTCGATTATTTTTTGAGTTTGTAAGCGTTCCAATTACTCCCTTAGAGGCTTTAAAAGTGGAATGGAAACAATTCGTGGAACTGATTGAAGGAAAGTTTGAGCTCCCTATACTAGATTGATCTGCATTTCGATTTAAAATTACCGACACTAGTAGAGATTTTAGAATATTTCATAATGATGTGGTTCTTTACAGAGTCATCAACTTTTATAGGGGCCTGATAAGACAATAAAATTAAAATTTTCAGTTTTTTGACTGCGGCTCGACCTAAAATAGGTTCAGTCAGGTTATCAATAAGCTCTATGCCAAAACTTATCTTAAAAATTTAAAACCGCAGATATTGTTCCTAGCAGATTCAATTTAATCCCAGACGGCCCAGTAACTATTCTCAGTCAATTTAAATTGTTTACGTAAATTTTAATTAACTATTCAATGTGAAGTAAAACACGAAGTCGTGGTCTCAAGATTCTTTAATAATATAAAGGTTACATGTTTCGCCCAATAATGGGCATCATCAGACCTTCAACGGAACTCTCAGAAAGAGTGTTTCCAAAAGACGCATACTTCAATACATTTATTTGTACAATAAAAATTTAAAAACTTTGAAAATAGGTTCAACAAAAATGTGGAACATGTCCCGAAAATGTAATTTTTTATTGATTTCTGATACAAAAATTATAGCCACCTACTCCTTGGAATCGACATGATTAGATTGACTTGGTTATGATTAATAGTGATAGACTACAGGTAGATGTCCTCTACAATTTCTGAATCCTCAATATCCAAACTGTTATACTTGGCCTCTAACTCAGATAACTGGATAGATCTCACTTGCGTTTTTCGGCAGACCACTGCCCAATGGCCCTTCTTCTGGCATTGTCTACATGTAGATATATTAGCTGGGCACTGATCCCTGAAAAAATTCGCACTTTCTAGAAGGGGGATAGGGAAAGCTTTGTGTTTCTCACTCAAATTAAAAGAGGGATTTGATGATCCTGTTGCTATGCCCTTTTCTGCCTTCACTCTTCCAATGTGGCGTTGGCTGCCCTGCCTTCTTTATTCTGATTGGTTTCCAGTCCGGCTGGTTTTGCCCGTAAAACACACTCTTGTATGTCTTTCAGTTGGAGCCTTTCCAGAGTTTTAGAATCAAGCATGCCTACTACGATTCTATCCCTGATAAAATCATCTTTGAGATTGCCATAATCACAATACGCAGCCAGTGAATGCAAATTTGTGATGAAAGGGTGCACCGATTCTCCAGGTTTCTGAAAGCTGGAATTGAACTTAAATCTTTCGAAGATTACATTTCTTCTGGGAATAAAGTAGCTTTCGAAACTGTTTAAAGCTTCATCGTATGTACCAGGAATATTTTGAAACTGTACCATCACTTCCTCGGCTTCTTTATGCATGATATATGTGAGAATATCTATTTTCTCCTTTTCGGACTTGCCTATTTGTCTTGACACTCACATACGTTTTTCGAATCTCTTCCGCCATGCTGGCCATGCAGCTGGTGAAGAAAAACATTTACTGGGGTCACTATTTTGAAGTTATTATATATTTGCCCAGCACCTTCAGACTACGCTGGTAAACAGTTTATTTTTTATTTTGCCAAGATTCATATAAAGTCGTCGAAGCTTCACTTCAAAAACACTCTCGCTGCCACCATGTAATGTTAGTGGGTTCTTTAACATAAACACTTTATAGTTCGTAGAATCATTAAAACTTTATTTATAAGAAACTCAGGTACACTTCCGAGAGAAGACTGGTTATAAAACATCAAAAAACCTTCTGCTCACCAGCAAGCTTCTCTTAGTTTAGGTTTACTGCAGCTCTCATATCCTTGGCTCACGTCACACCGATCAGATGTTGAAGTGTTTCTACGCTGTTGCAGTGTTGTTATCAGCCAAGGCTACTGACAGAACAATACTTAACGGTATTGAGACCCTAATCAGACGGAGCGGTTTCTGCCGAGTCGACGCTCGTTAGAAATGAATGTAGAACCAAATAAATGAAAGTTGATTTTTCGAACGATTTCCCATACAAATAAATTAAAATCCGTTATCTTTAAAAATGCTGACATATCGACATAGATAAATTCAAAATCATAAGATAAACAATATGCAATATTTGGAGGATTGTCAATGACCGCCGCCAAAATTGCAACGGCCAACCAAGGGAGACGGATCTTTCTGTTAAAGTATTCCTAAAAGCTGGTGCTAGTTGATGTTATTATGGCTTCGTGGACAATGGATAAATTTTCGCCTTATTTGAATTCTGCTAAAGTTATTCCAATTTATAAGGTAGGAACGCTTGTTGATCCTTCTAATTTCAGACCAATATCTCTTCTATCTACACTGTCAATATTATTGGAAGGATGGTCAAAAATCGTGTTGTATCCTTTTCAAAGTCCAACAATATTCTCAGTGGGTTTCAGTTTGGCTTTCACGAGAAAAAACTTATGATGCCTTGTGCCTCCAGCGGTGGGCTTCACCTACTAGGTCCTGCTTTCGGTGTGAATCCTTTCAACTATAGACCACGAGCCGCTATTGGTTGAGAAGCTCCAGCTCCTCCACTCCAGAATGGCACTAAAGATTCACCACTGGTTTCCGCCGCTGTGCTTTGTGACTTGTCAAGCGTTGCAAGCATGACCGCGCAAGCCACGAATTATTGTGCTTCGGAATCTTTACCACTATGGCTCAAGAGGAGTGGCATCATCCTGGTTCTCGTCTTGTCTGGTCGGTCTCTATCAGCGAATATTTGTGGGCTCTGAGTGCTCTGAATATCGTTCAGTGCTCTGTTTTGGGACCATTGCTTTTTCTGCCATACATAAATGAACTAACTAACCTAAAAGTTCAGAGAAAACACACACTATTTGTCATTCCGAGTTGAGCTCTCCAAGTGGTAACACGTTTTCCCCAAGAGAGATCTCAATTCTGCTAAGTTTGTTTTGGGCCGAGAAGAATGTTGACTAGTGCCATATCCAAAAGGCAAACCAAGCTGCCAGTGTGTTCCGAGTGCGAAAAGTTGAAGTACGAAAAGTTAAAGTCAGTTGCGATAGGGAATCAATGTGAGCGCGTCTTCGACTAAGATGTCAAACCTGACGCTAGAAGAATGGTAAGCCAAGGTAGCCCGCCAGTTCGAAGAACTGCAAAGGGAAAACGAGGCTCTGGAAAGTTACCTGGTACAATTGCAGACAGACAATGCCAAACTAAAACAAGAGCTGAAACAAGTCAAGAGCGAAAACCTGAAGGTCAAAGTCACGGCCAGCGCGTCCCGCACTGCCAACAATGTGAAAACCGCCGAAATACGCCGCTTGTCCAAGTTGGTTGCGCAGCAAAATATGGAGAGAGCAGACAGCTCCGCTAGTGACAACGGGGGAAGGATAACGATGACTTTACAGTTTGCTTCACCTAAACGCAAAAACAGACGCCGCCGAACCAAGTCAAACAGCAGTGACGAATCCACGCAATCCCAAAAAACCATCAAGCCAATCAACAATACTCGGCTCCGATGGATGAGGAGCCAGCGACATCCACGAAAATCGTTAGTCAACAAACCAAACTTACTCCCCAAGCCCCCGCAAGAAATTAATTTCTGCTTAAGCCACCCTCATTCGCCCCAAAACAGGAGCAAATCCCTCCGATTCTCGTACGAAACAAGTCAAAATACAACGACCTAACCGCCCATTTCAAGCAGAACCAAATCCACCATCATACAGTAGACGATTTCCGAAAAGTCCAAGCTTTTCTGGAGAAAAACAAGGAACCTTTCCACACATTCAGGTTCCCAGAAGACAAAAACTTAGATTCGTCCTCAGAGGTCCGCCAGAAACGTGGTCGACAGACTACATAAAACATCAGTTAAAAGATCGAAACTACCACCCTACCACTGTAATAAGTTGGTACAAAGCCAACGGAGAAGTCGAAGAACCAGTTCCCCCTAGTCCTAGTACTGGTCTCAGCCTCGGAAACCGCCATCTACAAAATTGAGACCATCAACTATGTAAAAATCAGGGTTGGGACACAGAAGTCACAGGCAAAATCAACC